CCCGCGCCGGGGGGAAGAGCGGGGCTCTCCCGAGCTCGGCACGAAAGCCACGCGGAGAGGAGTTTCGTTACCCCAAAGGTGCGGCTAGCTGCTCTCCTAGGAGGAAGTGACCGCCTGCTTCCTGGCAGCCTCCAGTATCGCTCGTGTGCGGCCAGCTTGGTTTGGACCTGAGCACAGGGCACAAACACGGAGGGGTTCCCCTTTGGCTTCTCACAAGCGCCCACCCCAACCTTTGCTCCTAGCTCAGCGGCCCCAGCCTCTTTGGGGATCTGGTGTAGCTGCAGTGCTTCCATACCTGCTAGGTAACATGCTTGTATGGAGAATAGGAACTCAACTCCGTGTCCACAGGCGGCCTTCAGCAAGCAGAGTCCTTTCTGCCAAGCTTCACAGGTTGCCTGACAGCTTCTGATCTCTTGTAGGAAATATAGTGATCGTTTTGCTTCTTGGATGCCTGGGTCTTTGCCGATGATTTAGCTTTAAATACCAAAGTTCAGTTTTTCACAAAGAACCAGTAAAAGAAGCAAAAAAATATGGAGGTATGCTTGTTGATTGTCTTGCTTGACAGCCATGTTCCTGCATGATGTTCTAGCTAAAACTTGGCTTCACTGGCTCTGAAGGTTAGTGTCTTCAATGTGAAGCCATAGGCCTGAGGTATCGGTAACTTACTAGGTTGGTCGTGTCCAGATTTGTTCTTTCCAACCAGGATAAGAAGGATAGCAGCATGCAATGGAAAAATGCAGTCCAAGTTTAGGAACCAGCCTTAATTTCACAACTTTTCAGTTTTCTTGGAGGTTAGTATGAAATATCAGACGTGCAGAGACATCCGACTGTCCTCCGGTGAGAGCAGTAGGTTTTTAACCTCTTTAAAAAAAAATAAGGAACTTACTTTCAACTCCAACTCTTTTACAGAACAGAGGTAATGAGAAAGGATCCCTTTCATAAAGGGCTTTGGTTTCTGTAAGTGAAAAGTACATAGTGATTTTGGGTATTTTATTCTCGCCTGAGAGATGCTGCTGTAGGAAACCCATGGAAAGTCTGTTTGTTTCCATGAGCCTCAACAGGTCAGAATTCATATGGGAATTCATTTGATTGCCAATGAGATCAAGGTTTTACCAGTCTTGAGAGTTTGGATTTTGGATTGCGTTCATGTGATTTCCTGCAGTAAGATCCTGTGGGTCAGCTATTTCACAGTGAAAGCTGAAACAAGATGTGTTGAACTACAGCGTGGTTAAATAAGAGCCACCGTAACTACCTATCACCAGTCTTGACTTTGCCTTGCCTACAGTATTGTAAAAATTAGAGATCCTTGTTTTTGCTAGCAGTTTGCACAGCTGCTGGTATTTCTGTGTTTAAGTGCATGCGTGTTTTTTATTTTTCGGAAAAGCCTTGGACTCAGAGTGTACCCTGGTCCTCTGTGTTTGTGTGGTGTTTTTAAGGCAAATGAGTTTGCTCTGCCTGTGCTTTGAGTTGGCTGACCAGGAGTCTGTTTCAAACCAGAAACTGAGCAAGTACTGCACTGACAATATCCTACTGCAGAATTACTTGTTGAGGCAGTGTTGCACCTCTGCAACATGGTTTTCCCCCTGGTGGAATCTGGGTGAGCTTGTATTTGCCTGGAACATACTTTGGAGGTGCAGCCTAAGAGGACACTGAAAGAATGATGCTTGCAGCTGTGATCCAGATGTTACTACATAGTCCCTTGTTCCCTTGCTCTCGTCCTGAAAACATGGAGTAGCGGGAAAGTCTTTGAATATGCGATAAAAATTGAGTGCTGGTTCATGGTGACCCTTTCAGTTGGCACCTTCCAAGCCTCCCCCTTTCCTTCCGTCATTTCCTGCTGTTGTGCTCCCCAGTTAAGAAGCAACTGGCATAGCACTGCAACCCCGGCCCTGTTCTCCAGGGTATATTCCAGACAGGGCATCCCACACTCGCTCTGCACTGTTTGTATTGCCTTATCAAAGGCAACTGGTGATAACTTCGCTATTGTTAACGACAAGCATAACTTAGTGTATTATCAAAGTTTAAATAAGATAGACATGTCACTGGAGTGTGGCTAAAATAAAGCATAGCTTATGAGAAACTTTGTAAAACCTTCCTCAGTGGGTGCAGCTGCTTGGATAGAAAATGCTGCGGAGGTTGTTACAGATGAGTTCTAAACATACATAACAATAGCTTCATTAAAAAGGAAAAAAAGGGTAATTGATGTGTGCTGTTCTGAAGTGGTGATAAACAGATTAACTATGATGCTACAGCCCAAAAGTTGTATTGTCTTAACCCTGGTCACCACTAGATAACATTCTGATGACTGTCTTAGCGAGACCTTGATAAAATTCATTTGGTGTTTATATGAATGGATGGCGCTACAGAACTTTTCTGGTTAGGATGACAAGCCAAGGCAATCCCGTCCTGTGTGCTTCTGGGCCCAATGAATTATCTCCCTCAGCTTGGAGGGACAGTTTTCCCCATGCAGAAGGAGAACACAGAGTGATGTGCTACATAATGGCTACTAATAGTTGCTTTGGAAGGAATAATTCAGTCCATAAGGCAGGCCAATGCAGCTGGCTCAAGCTGCCTTCTGTCAGGGAAAGATGGGACTCACGTTCTAACCAGGATTTGTAACTCTGGATGGCTTCACCAGAGGGGCTAGTGAGGTCCATATGTGCAGGTCCTGGATGAGGCCGAGGGAGATGTACTTCGGTTGTTGGTCCGGTGCAGAGTGAAAGTTGTGATGTAAGAGGTCTGTTTCTGCTGGCTGACTGCCTTCTGTATTCTCGTTTGCAGGTTGCCTCTCCCTCCTGGTGACAGTGCAGGATGCTGAGCGTTATACCACGTTATTTGCCACTGTCATCCTCAAGTGTGACTATAGCACCTCAGCACAGCTGCAGGACGTGGTAGTGACCTGGCGTTTCAAATCCTTCTGCAAGGACCCCATCTTTGACTACTACTCAGTCTGTAAGTGTCAGGCTTGTCCTCCAAGGAATCCCTCTTCAAAAGGAAAGAAAGAGGAAGGTAGACTTACCGGGCAATACAGGCTTTTGGCCTTTTCCTGCCCATAAACCAGGTCGGGTGGTGGTATTTCCCTGCGCCCCAAGAAAAAATAGGTCATGTCTGTGATTTCCTTTGCAATGTCAAGGCTTTATGATACGATGTTGTAGAAATCCCAGCCAAAGCAGCTCATTTGTCCTCCTTGTCATCAACTCAGAAGGCAGAGAGGCTCAGCCATGTCAATCTTGGCAGCCCCATCTTATGCTTCAGCATGTTTGAAAGCAAGGGCCCTGCAACAAGTGGACTTTATCATTCCATTGGGGACTCCATGGTTGGAGCTAGATACTTGTGACCAGGTGTTACTGATTTTAGAAGTAGAAGAAACATGCATTTTGGAGGGCAGAAAGACTTCTAAGTAAAAACATTTAGTACTGGTGGCAGCATTTCAAGTGCAGACATTCTGGTGTGTGCAGCCTTAATTCAGAAGTGTTTAAGATGGTTCTTAAGATGGTATGCAAACTGCATCCTGGGGTGTATCAAACACAATATAACCAGCCGGTCAAAAGAGGTGATGATCCTGCTATATTTAGCATTGGTGCGGCCTCACCTTGAGTATTGTCTGCAGGTCTGGGCCCCACAATTTACTTGAGTGCTGTGTGCAGTTCTGGGCCCCACAATCTAAGAAGGATGTGAAGGTACTTGAATGTATCCAGAGGAGCGCCACAAAGCTGGTGACAGGGCTGGAAGGAATGTCCTATGAGGCGCGACTAAGGACTTTGGATTTGTCTAAGATGAAGAAAAGGAGGCTGAGGGGTGACCTGAGTGCTCTCTACAGCTTCCTGAGGAGGGGAAGTGGAGAGGGAGGTGCTGATCTTTTCTCCCTGGTATCCAACAATAGGCTGCGTGGGAATGGTTCAAGGCTGTGCCGGGGAGGTTTAGACTGGACATTAGGAAGCATTTCTTTACCAAGAGAGTGGTCAAACACTGGAACAGGCTTCCTAGAGAGGTGGTCAATGCCCCAAGCCTGTCAGTGTTTAAGAGGCATTTGGGCAATGCCCTTAATAACATGCTTTAGCTTTTGGTCAGCCCTGAATTGGTCAGGCAGTTGGACTAGATGATTACTGTAAGTCCCTTCCAACTGAACTATTCTATTCTATTCTGTTCTATTCTATTCTCTATAAACCCTGCAGTAAGTTTAAGCTGGCCAACCTTAGCTTAACTGCACACTTAAGACTGAGCTCAGAGTGGGGAGCCTGGACTTGTTTGGTGTCTTGGTGCCCAGACTCTCCTTTATGCAGTCTGGATGGGTTGGGTAGGCATGTGACCAAGTGCTCTACAGCCTAATCCACAAGCAGGTGGGTCCCTGGCTCTGCTGATCCCAGCATAATGTGAGTGCTTTGAGCCCAGGCTCAAGCTAATAGCCCCCAACAGGGTCAGAAAGCATGAAGGTCACGGTGTTTGCTTAGTTGGATCTGCTTTTCATGATCCACTGTAGATACAGCAATGGAGGAGCCTTTGACAAGCTTTGTCCTCTCCTCTCTTCATTGCCAGCCCTTTACAGACAATGCTGACTGACTGTTTCAGTTGTCTCCCCAAATCTCAGCTCCCAAAAACCTGGGAAATAGTTTATATTGTGAGTGTGTCATAAGAGTATTGGACAGAAATGGCCTCTAGCCCTCCATTAATTCTGTTGGGTCTCTCTACATGTAATCCTTAGCTGGAATCAGATGATGGATTCTTTTCTGTCTTTATGAGCTCCACAATATCTAATGGGATACAGGAGGGAAAGGCAGACAATCTCTACAACGGTTCATGTATGTCTGATTTTGTTTGGTAAATAAACACACACTTGTTTTAGTTCCAGTACTCCTGGGAGTTTTATGACTTTTTTTCCTTGTAGTTTATCTTCATACTAGGAGCTGCCCTCCAGCCTACCACCATTAGCTTCCTTCTACTGTTGTTCTTTCAGTTGTGAGTACAGGAGGCATCTCCTCTGCAGCTCCTGCATTCTCAAAATCTCTGCCATTCCTGTGGCTCTACCTCTGTTTGCTTTTGAGTACTCCAAAGCAACTTGTCCTTGCTGGTTTGAAGCCATGCTTTGTATTACTAAACCAAAGCACACACACACATGCGTTCAAGAGTTTCTCTGCTGCTCACAAGGGGATAGAAATTGGTCCTTTGAAATAACTTTTGGCATCTTATTTGACAATGTGTGTTTGTAGCATACCAGGCTGGTTTAGCTCTTGGCCAGGACCCATCTGACGACTGCAATGACAGCCAGCGAAAGGTGCGCATTGTCATCCAGAAATATGGGCAGAAGGAGCCTGTGCTGGGTATTGACTACCAGCAACGAAAGATCACCATTCAGAACCGTAAGTGACTTGACCTCCTGGGCAGGGAGTGAACTCAGTAACTATCCGATATCTGGGCCTGCCAAGTGAAGAGAAGCTTAAACATGGCTAATGTCATCTGTAGCTTACATATTCTATGAGGTGGCAATGAAATAAGAGTTGTGAAGGGCCCTGTCCTCAGCTGGCCTGAGGGTGTCGGAGGCACTACAAGCTAAGGGTGAGCTGAGGATGCCTGAGCATTTTGCTGAAGAGTGCAAAAGTAAGCTGAGGAGCCCAGAGGCTAGAAAACGGTTCTTTCTTCTAAGAAGTACTGCATAGTTGTCCAGGTGCATTATATGCTCCCTGCTGTCCCTGGAGCAATAGCTGCTGCTACTGCCAGAAGAGTTATTGGGATGGCTGGCCTAACGGGGACAGTGATCTGTGTTCCGAAATCAGTAGGCTTGGCAGCAGTGGGTATCTGTTAACATCCATCACCCAGCAGCATGCTGGTTATTTCACTCCACACAGAACTAGTCCCGCTTCTAAGTAGCGTTGCCTTCTAGCAACACAAAGAAAAAAGGGACTGGCAATTGATGCTGTTTACAGGAGTTCTCAATGGACTCAAATGGGATTGTTTGAAGGTGATGGCTACACTTGGGAAGAGGGGAGATGCAGTACTATATGTCACCTGCAGGCAGAGGGCCCTCTTAGAGTGGGGCCTGAAAGTAGTGTCTGTCAGTCCCAAATAGCCTGCTGACCTCTCAGTCCCTCTCCCACAGGGGCAGACCTTGTCATCAGTGAAGTCATGTGGTGGGACCATGGCGTGTACTACTGCACTGTGGAAGCACCAGGAGATACCTCAGGTGATGCGGACAAAGAAGTTAAGCTGATTGTTCTCCGTAAGTGCCTGTGGTTTGTTGCCTGGGTGACGGGTATCTCCTCCTGTTCTCTTCCTCCCCACACCAAGATGTCTCCAGCAGTGGAGAGGTGCTCAGTAACTTACTATGCCCAGATATATCAGGATCCTCTTTCTCTCTCCGTTTTTCCCATAGACTGGCTCACAGTACTTCTCATCATTCTCGGTGGCCTCCTCCTCCTTTTGCTGATTGGAGTATGCTGGTGCCAGTGCTGCCCCCAGTATTGCTGCTGCCACATTCCATGTGTCTGCTGCCCAACCCGGTGCTGCTGTAACGAGGAAGGTGAGGTTCAAGCAAATGTGCGTCCATTCATGGCTTCTATCAAGACAAAAGCTTGACTGGGAGCTTGCTGAGCTTCACTCTCTCCCTCCAGTTCAGCATCCATATAGACTGAGACATTTCTTTGGCCAATGTGATCTCCGTGACCAGCTTATTTGAGTTTAGAGGAGGGGAGCTAGGATACATGGAGCCCATCTTGCTCCTCTGTGTCCTACTTTCAGATGTTCCTCCTCACTCACACCTTGCTACCAACTTCTCTCATGTCATCCAGGGCACAATCAGCTCCCTTGTATGCGTAGCTCAGTACTTTTCTTCCCTGTCTTGTAGTTCATATGCCTGTGCATGTGAGGAAGGCAAGCAAATGCCTTGGTACTACTCTCCAAACTGGCCTAACCTTCAAGTGTGTTGCTCTGAGAGGTAATTATATAAAAATTGGAATTTTCTATCTTCATGTTATTTTCAGAGCTGTTCCTTCCACAAGAAAAAGGGTTGGTTTGTTTTTCTTTGGGGAAGGAAGTGAGGAGAAAGAAAGGAGAAAGATGGTCTGTCTTGGTGGTCAACCCTGCAAATGCATTCTGAGGTTTTGAGGGTCAAGAGAAACTTTGTTATGCATAGTTTTTAGCAGTAATAAAGGTTCTGCAGCCAGACCCTGTTCTCTTAATAAGGCCAGTGTTTGATTTTGGCTGCTAAGGTCATATAACCTCTGTGTTCCTGTAACTGAAACTTAGTAGCGACACAATGTGGAATAGCCCCCCTGCAGCTTACACAATCTGACAGGAACAAAATGCAAGAAATACATTTATTTATCATTGAAATGACCAGATTCTTCCCCAGATGCTACAAGGAGAGGATTTATGAACAAGGAGCTGTGTTTCTGGTTTCCCTTTACCTGCAAAAGAGCTATTTGGTATACCTTGGGTGTTAGTAAACTGAGAGAGTTTTAGAATCATAGAACCATAGAATAGTTTCGGTTGGA